GAGCCAGAACACCTTCACCCTTCTTGAAGTCAGTCAAAGCTTTGAAAGGCTGAACAAGCCAATGGTGCCCAAAGGCCTTGATGTAATGCTTGCCTCCAACTGGTGTGTCTTTCACTTTGGTGACAGTGCCTGCTGGGAACAATTTCAATGCTCCTTTCTTCACCTTCTTCACTGACCAAACCAAGTTGGGGCGGTTGCTGAAGGCTACATCCTCAGGACCAACCATTTGGTCAACACACACTTGCAGCAAAGTCTTCTGCACATGTGCTTTCCGCAGCTCTAAAGCCACAATTGCAGAACCATTGGCAACTGCCATGTGTGCAAGAGCTTTCAAATGGTGGCATTTCTCTGGAGGTGCTGACTTGCACACCTTCCACTCCTTCAGCTTCTCAAATTCCACTTCAATGCTTTCAGCTGGGCCAAACACTGGCTGGTGAGAGAATTTCACTTTGCTTGCGCTGCTGTTCAAGAAAGTCCAAATCTTGTTTCCATGCTCCTTTGAACATGTGTACCTTGCAGAAATGCTTTGGCAAACAAACACTTGTCAAAAGAAAACCAACCCTAAGGAAATAAAAGAAACTTTCATTGTGCCAAGTCACAATTGGCCCTGCTTCACGTGCGGATTTTGCAACAGTGCTAGCTCAGCAGGTGTACTGGCCAAGACATTCTTCACCTCCAGTTCAACAGTGGGCTTGGCCTCTTCCTTTCTGACACTTGGTTTAGCTCCACCAGCCAAATCAGCAGCAAACAGTATGCAAATAGCACTGATGCTTTCATGTCCAGCTGGTTCTCTGCCATGCTTCTCTTTCTTCAAGACATGCAAAGTCAGTCTGGTACACAATCTCCCAAAGGCAGCCAATTTGGTGGCTTGTTCAGCAGTAGATTTCTGGATCACTTCCCAGCCATCTGCCAAAGCTTGCCTGAAGCTGCAGGCCATGAACCCAAAGTAGACATGTCATGTTTACAGGGCATAATGCAACATGTGCTTGGGAAAAGGTAGAAACTTCAAACCACTGCAACAAAACAAATGCAAACAAGCTACTCAGCCATGTCCACTTGAGCCTTGAAAGCAGCATTCTTCAGCTTCTCACAATCTGACTTGTTCAGGAGCTTGGAGTATCCATCACTGGATCGGTTGCTGCACATCATTGAAGCCCACCTCAGCTGTCAAGCAGTAAGCAAAAAAAACCTTTGCCTACAGAATCAATAATCAATGGATTACCAGCAAAAAAAGCCAATGGCCCATGTTCAACAAAATGCCAAGTTGCAGTGCTGTCCTCAGGAAAGGGTACAAGGAGGTAGAGCCTTTGAACTCCATGTAGGCAATGGACTTCATCACCTCTTCCCCCAGAAGCAGTGACCCATAGGTCTTACCTCAGCTCACCAAGGCAAATGATGTCTGGTGTTTTGCAATAGCCACTAAAGGGCTGGCCAGCTGTGAGCCACATTGGGCTTATTGACATAGCCACCAGGGCTTTCAATTGCTACTTGCAGCCATTCAAGGGTTCAAGCTAATTTAAGCCCAGCTGCTGAAGTGAGCCAAGAACTTCACTAGGCATTGCCTCTCTCCTGCATACCTGGAGACAAACCATGCAATGGCTTCCAGAGACCTCTTGCAAGCGGGGTCACATTCCTGCACTTTTTGCAAAGCTTCCTTCAAGGCCATTCCATGGTTCAAGTACTCGCACATTTGACTTGCAGCTTCGATCTCAGTCATCTGCTGGTAGGAGTTGTTCACTGCACTCAAAGCTGATTGAATGTAGCTGGGCAGCTGGGGCCATTTCACTTCCACTGCATTGCTCAAAACAAGGAAAGGCCAGCCCTTGGAGCACAATTGCTGCAACCCAGGGTCTTGCTTTGGATCCACTGGAAACCCCAGGGGTCCTTTCAACCCTTGCTCCACTGCTTTGCAGAAGGCAGCAGTGTGGCTGGTTGCCACTGTCAAAAACCTTTCCTGGAAAGTCACTGGGGCCAGGGTGTCACCAGAAGCTTTGACCAAGGCCACATTTGCATCCAGTTGCCTCTTTCTCATGCCTTCCCCTGTTGCCAACTCGAAAGCCACAGAACCTTCATTGAGAATTGAGAAGTGAAGGTTGGACACCCACTTTGACCATTCGATGGCCCTTTTCCCAGACATCTGCAGCATTCAGCATACTCCCCCCTCTATTGCTAGGGTGAGTCAGTGTATCCTTGGGCAGCACATGCTGCTTGTACCCAAAGCCACTGCCACTGAAAGTCTTGAACAGCTTCTCCACTTTCTGCAGCACTGGCAAGGCTTCATTGGCCAAGATGGTGTCCACTTCCTTCACCACTTCTGCAGGGATTTGGCTCATGGCTGCAAAAGTTTCAGTGCTACTGCATGTGTTGCAAAACAAAATGCCAGAACATGTGCATGTTAGTGGAACATGTGGGATCATGCTTTTCTTGTCAAAGGCTTGCCCATCCAGTGTTCAATTTGTTTTCTGCTTGAGCCATGCCACAAGTTGCTAGACAAAGAAGCCATTGAAGGACTTGCAACAATTAGCTATCCAAGCTTGCTGACTAAAACTTAGCTATTCAAGCTTGCTGCCAAAACTTCTAGCCACTATGGGCTTGCAATAGATAGCTACAAAGAGCTTTCAAAAGAGTGGTGCCAAAAAGGTTTGCACCAAAAGGAAAGAAGTTCTGTGCCCCTTGTTCAAATCGTGCACATGCACAAACATTCCTGTCTGCTTTCCTCTTGTGCAAAAGAATGGAGGAAAATTCGCTAAAAAAACAATCTTTTCCAAATTAACTTAAATCAGCTAAGTACTTGCTAATTTTGAGCAAAATTAAAAAATAAGATGACTTAGCTAACTTTACTTTTTTTAGCTAAATGTTTTAAACATGTTAAACAACTAGGATGATGTTAGCATAACAGTAACATACACCTAAGTACAAATTAAGATATATTTACATAAGGCTTTTAAACATCATAACCCACTAGCAAGACCACAGCCCATCCAAGTGGGCGCGTGGGCGCTGGGCCGTGGGCGCAGTGCGTGCGCGAGCGCGGGCGGTGCGGTCGTGCGTAATGCGTGCGTGCGTGCGTGCGGTGCGTGGGTGGGGGTGGGTGGGTGGGTGTGTGTGTGTAACTTGCTAATCAGTCAGGCAAATCAAATGCAGCTTCAATTAGTTTTAATCGGCTTGCAGAGGGACACAGCACTTCATTCGGGCTGTGTCCAGAAGCCACCAGCGAAATGGGACGTACCTGCAGAGTTTTCCATTTGCAACTGCTATGGCAGGGGGCTGAGCCAAGAACCCCGAGAAGTGGGCGATTTTAACTAACTTTTTAACATTGTCAGTTGTAGAGCAACATTTACCTTCAGATTGCGCACTTCACGGGTGACAGAATTAGGAATTGGAAAGGCCGCGGCTACCTCAACCTTTCTCATGCAGTGCGTTTATGGTTGCTTAACTTCAATTGGTTGCACCGTCTCTCCGTTTCGTTTTCCCGTGATTAGAAAGGGTGTCGCCAACATCCTGAAGCAGTTCGCACTTCGAGGGCAAGGAAGTTCTGAGCGTCTGGGTGGACATTGAAAATCACCCACAGCAATACTGGTCAGCCATAAGGTGAAGCAGCCCTGCGGGCGAAGCTCTCATCAGTCCTTGCCCCACCCTTAGTGTGAGTATAGCTTTAGGTGCGCCCTCTACTGTCCCCAAGGTGCTCATGGGTGCAGGAAGCATGGGTTGGGATCCCTCCCTCTCTTTCCTCTTTCTTCCCCCCCTTCCCTCCCACCTTCCTTACGCTGTCCTGCTTCAGTTGTCTTGCTGCTGGGTGGTTTTCTGCGTTGTGACGTGTTTTGCTTTGTGCTCTTGCTCGTGCCAGGGTCGGGTTCCTGCGTGCTTTCTCCCCTCTCCTTCCCCCTTGTCCTTCCTTTGTTCTGCCTGCTTGTTGTGTGCTCCCTCTGCCTGTTGTTTGCCTCTGTTTCTTTTCCTCTTGTTTCCCCGTTGTTTGTTGTGGCTGGCTGTCCTTGTTCCCTTCCTCCTCGCCCCTCCTCTTGTGTGTGTGTGCGTGTGCGCGTTACAGAACTACAGATGGCCCAAATCCAAGATTTAAGGCTTGATGCGCATGAAATTCCATGAACGCTTTACGCCCAAGCACATGCAAGATCTTGCTACACTTCTGAGGCATCTGATGAAGTGCCCCTCCGTTGAGCATTTGATGTAATGGTGCCGGTAAAAAAGAACGTTCAGGGCTACAGATTGCCCATCTGTATGAGGTGCCATGTGTGTGCGTGTGTGTGCGTGTGTAAACTGCTAATCACACGCAGCCTCAATTAGCTTTAATCAGCTTTCAGAGGGACGCAGCACTTCACTGGGGCTGTGTCCAACGAAGCTACCAGTGAAATCGGATTTCCAGCTTGGCCAGCTGGATGTACCTGCAGAGTTTTTCATTTGCAACTGCCATGGCAGGGGGCTGGGCCAAGAACCCCGAGATGCACTAACTTTTAACAAAGTTGGTTTTAGACCAACATTTACCTTCAAATTGAGGACTTCACTTGTCACAGGCTGGCAGAATTAGGAACTGGAAAGGCTTCGGCTACCTCAACATTCTGTTCTTCCTTCACACTTTCTCATGCTGTGTGTGTGTGTGCGCCGGTGCCTACCACAGGGTCTCTTGCAAATATTTGAAACAGTAGGGAGAAGGTTAAAGTGTTTCTTGCACTCTGCGGATAGCAACACCGTGTTTCTCCGCCTTTCTTTGCGTTTTGATTTGGATTTGTGGTTGAACACGCTAGTCACCGAAGGTAAGCACATCCACAACGAACGGGGTCACAAGGAATGTTGTCAACTTCAAGCTTTTGGCACGGCAGCATGTTGCCGGCCAGGACATTTGCGTGTGCAAGACCGGGATAATCATGAGATGGGAGGAGGCCGTCAATAGCGACATGGCTCCTTGGCCATGCAGTTGGGATTGCGGCCAAGATCATCGCATAATTCTAAGGGAACATGATGGCCACACACAGTCATGAAAATCTTGGCAAATTCAAAAATACAATTGAAGACTAAGGGCAACAAGCAGGAGCCGGCGCAAAAATAAGTAGCAAATGGAACCAAAAAAGAACAAAAACGATGCCGAATATACACCAAATAGGAATTTAAATCAAACATGATTTTTAAAATAACTGGAATGAATGTATCAAATTTGGATTTTTCAATCCTTTTTCGCAGGTCCGTTTCTTTGTGAGTTGTTGGTGTTTTTCGCTGCGTCCAGATTTGAAAATATTTTTTCTCTCTACGGGTCCTTGTTGGGCCCCTCCCATGTTCATGCGCGACGGGACCTTGGTTCATGTTCAAGGAACGTCGTGTCATCACTTGACGACAGACGCTCACTTGCGCAAAAGTTGCAATATACGAAGCTTCATGAACATTACGATTTTTAAGGCTTATGTAGAGCTATGCAAGGGAATATCCGGCCAAATAATTGCCTTCCAGTAGTACCGCACAAGGCGGCGGCGGAAGTTTCAAAGATAGGAAACCTATAGGAGAGGTTTGTTGTTGGTGGATGGCAGAGCAAACCCACTGACGGATCCAAAGGTTGTTGAGATCTGAATCTCTCTCTCTCTCTCTCTTTCCCTTTCCCTCTCGTCCAAACAGCTGGCCCGCCACAGCAAAACAGCATGCAGCTGCCAGTTTCAAAGCGTCTCGGACCGCAGAATGCCAATCCCAGACGTTGCTTTCTCAAGCCTCTAGAAAACAAGCTCTGCAGCCACGCCGCCAGCGTCCAAACAGCCGGCCCGCCACAGCGACACTTTTTCTCTGACGCGCTCGTCCCTGGGGTCGGCGGAATCTGCGAGACATCCTCGCAAAATGAAAGGCCATAGCTCCAAAACAGCGAAATTTTATCTATTTACCTTTCTATCTATCTACCTATCTACCTATCTCCTTATCTACCTATCTACCTATCTATCTATCTGTCTATCCATCTATCTTTCTATCTCCTATCTCTCTATCTATCTCTCTGTCTGAAAGGAAGGAATTATGCGAGACTTCCTTCAAAAGTGGAAGTTGACAAAACGAAGCAATTCTGCGACACTTCCGCCAAAAGGCTATAGGATCAAAAACAAATTAATTCTGTGAAAATTAAGACAAGGAGGACTTCCTTCGAAAATGAAAAGTTGAGCGCAGAGCTGACGGCTTCCTACCAATGCGTTTTGCGATTTTTTCACCCCATCTCTCCATAGTTCTGCGCCTGCCACGAAAAAGTGAGTCTAGGTCATACGAAGCGCTGCACTTGTCACGCAAAATCATCTTAGGAAACTTGAAGACCTCATGCTCCAAAATGGAACCTTTTGCAGGAAATCGGCGCCCTAACCTCTTAACATGTCTGATGAATATGTCTCTGTCTCTTGTACTGCGCTTGCCACGCGAGATGCATCTTTGCAGATTCTCTTCAAATGTCCCACCCCTCCCATTTTTTGCAACTACTTACGTTTTGCTCACTTTCGGCAAGGTGCAGAATCCATTGCGCCTGCCACATAAACGACGCTTCAACGTCTAAAAGTGGTCTGAACATGTGACGCTTTACCATTTTCACTTTCACATGTGCTTCGTGTCGCAACCGCGTGCACTTTTTCCACATCTCAACTTCCAAAAGTGCTCCGAACGCGGTGTGCTTTGTACATTCTGATTTCAAAACGTGCTGCACACCACAATGGCGTTCAATTCTCATCTCTCATCTCCCCAGATGGCTGCGCACCCACCGACTTTTCGACCTTTTGAAAACACAGGCGACTTTGTACCTTTCGCGCACCTGGATTTTCTTTCTTCCTTTCTCTTCTCTGATCTTCTTTCTTCTGGCTCTCTCTTCTCTGACTCGGCCCACCTCTGTTGCTGTTGTCGGATTTGACTTCCAAACTTCCTTCGGTCACTGTGGCAACAAACTTTCAAAGCTCATACTTTATAGTTGATACAACTTCAAAGGCACATTTAAGTATGCCCGGCATGGCACCAAGTATGCACCAAAGTGCAAGAGAGAAGCTGTCCAGCAAAGCACCAAATGTTTTCGCAGATAAACATGAACTTCATAAGCGCACCTGCCCCCCCGCACCCACCCCATCCAAAAAATGTGTAGAGAATGCACAAAAAATGTCCACGACAATGCGAAGTGGGAAAGAACAAGTGCTTCGGTTTGAAGACAATGGCAACGGAATAGATATTGGTGAAACTAAGACTTCCACATCTTGAGCATCCTCGAACATGTGTTTCAGTAGCAATTTTGGGTGTAAGTCTAAAGAGTTAAGGTCGAAACCCCATGAGTATGTTTTTCTTGCAGAAAGTCAGGCTGAGATCTGGAACATGACTCCATTTGTTCATGGTTAAGCCCCTTTTCAGTTCAAGTAGTTGAATGCCTCCCCCGCTGTGCGCTAAGTGTAGGGAGACTCCAGCTGCAGAAGGATATTCGTGGTGTTTAGCTTGCACAGGGTGGGAGGCTTTGGGAAGAGAGTTAGCCGGGCACTGGGACAGTCAAGGGGCCCGAGTGCTGGCCGGTGATCTGGTCATTTCCTGTGTGCCATAGGTTCGTGGTGTCAGGTCGTTGAGCGCTGGTTTAAGTCGCACGGCTGACAAGGCGGCACCTGGCGCTTCTGCCAGTGCTAGCCAGTCGCGCCCGCGTGGCGACACCGCGCGTTCCGGCCCGGCTGAAAGACCAGAACTTCCCCGTGTTCGACCTACTCTTCCTGCTCCACCAGCGCCTCCGCCTCCAGTTCTACGACGGCGCTGCCGCCAAGCGCAAGCCCCCAGGCCCCGACAGGAGCCCAGATCGCAGAGGACAAGAAGGGCGTGGGCAGAGGACAAGAAGGGCGTGGCGCCGGCCCTAGCCGTGAGCGTCGCAGTGACCGTGACAGAGACAGGAGATCAGAACACAAGTCACACACCCACAGGTCGAAAAGGAAGAGGGCTATAGCACCCACAGAGGGGGACGCAAGCACCAGAGGTTGTCCAGGTTGGCTGAGAACCCGCAACTCAGGGTCCATAGGAAGGCCAGTCCGGCCCTCTTGGAGCTTTCATCACACAAGGGCCGTGAAGCCCTTGATCGCCTTTAGTCGGCACAATGGAGAAAGAGGATGCAGGAGAGGATGTAGATGTGGACCAAGTACAAGCTTGGCCAGCATTGTCTCCCACTCGAGGACAGGTCATCGAGGTCTTCCTGGCGCGCTCTACCTTCTGCGATCCCGTGGAACATTGGGCGTCCTTTGTGATTCTCAAGGCCTCCAACTGGATGGACGGTTCGCTGGCCCTGGAATGCAAGCACTTAGGCTGCACCAACAATTCCTACGATGCCGAGCTGGACCGGGCATTCAACGACGCCCCCTATTTTATTCATTTATGTCTCTCAGAGCCATGCGTGGCTCCAGACATGGATGGCGTCGACACCACTCAAGGCCTGCATGCAACTCGTGTCAGGTTGTGGGATATGAGTGCCTTCGTGAGGGATCAGGTCTACGTTACTGCAGACTGTTTGGCCTTAGCAGATCGATGGCTCAAGGAGGCTGGGGAAACCCGTGCCCCTCACAAAGCCAAGGCCAAACCCGGGGCGCCGCCTGGCCCTGGCCGGCGCAAGCCAGCAGCCAAAGGCGCCGACGCGGCCCCCAAACCCGGTCGTGGACGTCGTGCACCTGCAGAGAAGGAGCCACGGCCACCGGCTCTGAGAAAGACAAAAGAGGACGACAAGAAAAGGCAAGAGCTCAGGCGCAGCGTTTGAAGGAGACTCGAGAACGTCTACAAGGCAAGGTGAAGGAGACCACCGAGGTAGAGGAGATACCCGGGTCAGATGTAGAGAGCCGGGGTTCAGAGGCGCCTTCAACCATAGACTCAGGCTATGCGGAGGACGAAGGACTGATCAGTGGGCTGAATATGGAGACCAAGTCGAAGAAGAAGGAGAAGACGGAGGCTGTCCTGGACAGGACAACTTCTGGGGACCCACGACGCCTCCTGAAGTCGAAGGACTCCAAACAACTGGCTTTAAAAGACATCACTACGAGCAGCTTGAGTGGCCAATTGGTTCGCAAAGCTTTGGAAGTCACCTCCAAGCGGAAAGAAGACAAGAAGCAGAAGAGAACCAAGAAGGGCAAGAGTCGTACCACGAAGATCACCGAGACGCTGGTCAAACTTCTCACAGGGAAAGAGATACCCTCAGACAAGAAGCGGAAGAAGCGCAAGACGAGGAGATTGGAAGATGGGACGATTGTCAGCTCCAGTCCCAGCTGCAGCGACTACTCGGAGGAGGATGCGTCCGAGAAGGCGAGCCCAGATGCGGAGCTGGAAGCGCCTATGCAGAAGAAGAGCAGGGACAACCCTGGATCGGTGCTGCGGCTTCTGGTGGACCACATTCGACAACAGATGGATCAGACTGCCCTTTTGGAATGTGGGAACGAAAGCGGCTCTTTGACCTCAGGCATCAAAGTGATGAGCCACTTCAACCTCTTTGTGAAGCCGTCCTACCCCCATCACTTGCGAGAACTGAGGGAGTTGCACCATCTCTCCATCTCCATAGATCAGCTGAGGTCGGGAGACGTTGCCAGCCTGGGAGATACGTTGGCGGCGCGATACATGGCCATCCATCAAAGCTTGGTGGATGCTTCCTGGTCGACGGCTCGTCACATGGACGCACCCCATGGAAGACAGCTCAGCCGCCGGTCAAGCCACGGTGTTGGCCACCAGGAAGCATGCCAGACTAGTCTCAGAGGCGGTAGGAGCGCTACCTCTAAGCGGCGCGAGTGGCATTGCTGGCAAAGGCCGTGCAAGCCGTGGCAAAGGAGAGTGGTCCTATGGGGACAATCGAGACGAGGGCAAAGGCAATGCCAAAGGACGCGGAAAAGGAAAGAAAGGAAAAACCAAATGGGGGGGCAATCAAGGTGCCTCCTGGGAGAAGACACAGCGCGACTGGGAGAAGAACAAGGACAAGGTCGAGGAGAAGCCGAAGTGAGGGACGGGAGGCTGGCTGTCGCCGTGCCTAGGTCCAAGTGTGCCTGGGAGAAGCCTTCAGGCTCGGGCTCCGCTGGGCCTTCACCGGCCAGCTCTCCTTGGGAGAAGCCTTCAGGCTCCCAGAGGGCTCCGCTGGGCCTTCACCGGCGAGCTCTCCTTGGGAGAAGCCTTCAGGCTCCCCAGGGGGCTCCGCTGGGCCTTCACCGGCCAGCTCTCCCAACCAAGACCCATTTTGGGTCCCTAGTTTCACTGATATACTGAGCAAGTGCACGTCAATCTCCATTACAGGATGTGCGCTGGCTTGGGTTTTTGTGCATTCAGCTGCAGGACATTTGAACTCACAGAAGTCAACTCTTTTCTTCACCCTGTTTAACTCCACTGCATGGCCCCGGGCCAGCCGTAAGCGCGTGGCCCTGCCTGTGAGGCTGGGGGAACTGAGAATGGTAAGAGGCAGGCTCCTGGAGAGCTCATTTGCTGGGGCTTTGCAACACGCCTTTGTGCAAGAATTCCCTGAAGATGCTTGGACCTTGTTGTCATGCTACGCATGTAATACCCTTCACGGCCAGCAGTCCCCACTTGAGCTTGGGGGATGGAGCCAGGCCGAAAAGAGGGTCGTGCTCTCCATACGTGGCGCTGTGAAGAACATGTTGCGCCACAGTGTTGACATGCGAGCCGACTTGAGTGCCATTGAAAAAGATGTCAAGCTGACGCGTGTTTCTTATAGTGGGGAAGAGGTAAAAACATGTCATCGCCTTTCACTTGAACAGATTCTGCCTTCTTTGCCTCCTCCTGGTCATGGTGGTAGTATTGATTTGTTGGAGTTTGTTTCACCTTTCACCCGTAGGTTGTTGTTGAATCCTGAACTGTGCCTACTCCCCGACAAGGGTCAGAAACTCCCCAAACTGCGGGGAAAAATTCACATTGTGGAAGAAGATCTTCATGCTATTTCGGATTTGATGGTTGAGCGTGGTATTTGTTGCTGGACCCCCTTGTCCGAAGTTGCGATGTACCGCGGGGAGAAATTACTAAATGGGCTTTTTGGAGTGGAAAAGAGTGCAACTACACCCTCGGGAAAATCTGTTCTGCGCGTCATCATGAATTTGGTTCCTTCAAATTCTGTTTTGTTACAGCTTCAAGGGTCTACTAAGAATCTCCCGGGGATTACTTCTTGGATGTCATGTGTTGCTGAAGATGATGAAGTCATTCGTGTTTGGCAGTCTGACATGTCAAACGCTTTCTACTTGTTTCGGTTACCGGATTGTTGGGCAAGATACCTAAGTTTCAACGTTGTGCGGGATGGTGAGTCGTTGGGCCTCAAGCCAGGAGTCAGTTATGCATTGAGTTGTACGGTTCTTCCAATGTGTTGGTTATCATCTGTTTCACTGATGCAGGAGATTTCTGAAAACCTGTTGCTTAAATATTCTCTCAGCAGTGAGCACCAACTGGCACGGAACAAGTCTGTTCCCCTCTGGATGGTAGGGCTGTTGAAAACTGCCAAACAATCCCACCGCACTTGGTGGCACGTTTATTTGGACAATTTTGCGGCTGGTCAACTAGTGAACCCTTCTGAAACAATCGCGAGTGGTAATGCATTGCACGAGACAGCAGAAGATGGGCCGCTGCTCATGTGATATCGGCCGAAAAGAAGAGAAAGAGTGGTGTATTGCTGGGAGAAGAATTGGGCGGTTTCATCGCAGGTGATTCAAAAACCTTGGGAACATCGCCAGAGAGGCTTTTACGCCTCTTACAAGGCACCATCTGGATCTTGAGTAGACCACACTTGTCAAAGAAACAACTTCAGGTCATTGCAGGACGATGGGTCCACATTATGCACAGTTTCGCAGGCCTGCCATGGGCTTCTTTGAATCTATTTGGGAGTTCGTGGGCAGAAAACAATTTTCACTGGACTTGGTGCGCAGAGTTCGCCGGGAACTCTTCACCTGCGTGGCACCAGCTTCCCTTATGCAAGCAAACCTGGCCTCTGGTGTTAGTGGTTTTACTACCGCCTCAGATGCATCACACTTTGGAGGTGCTGTGGGCCTTGCAGACAGTCTGACTGATGAAGGGAAAGATTACCTCACCACTTCATTGTCTAGTCAGCGGAACACAGGTTTGATTCCAGTGCTCGTTATTTCACTTTTCAATGGGATAGGGGGAGCATTCCGAACGTACGACATCTTGGGTTTCTCGCCAGTTGGTTTGGTAAGTTTTGATATACATGGTCCTGCAAACAGGGTATGCTCTCGCAGATGGCCGCATTCATTGCAGTATGGAGACGTGAGGTCCTTGGACAGAGAGCTCCTTTCGGAGATCTTACTGAAATTTCCTGAAGTAAGGGAACTACACCTCTGGGCAGGTTTTCCCTGTGTGGATTTGTCTTCGGCAAAGGCGGGTCGTGAAGGATTAGCTGGTGCTCAATCAAGCTTGTTCTATGAGGTGGTTAGGATCATCAAACTCTTGAAACAGGAGTGTGAACCTACCTTTACTGTTAAGTACGCTACTGAGAATGTTGCTTCAATGCCGAAGAAAGACCTGGAGGAGATCTCCGCAGAGTTGGAAACAGTTCCTTTTCATTTGAACAGCAGCGATGCCGTCCCTATGAACAGACCGCGACTGTGTTGGACGAGTGAGTCCTTGTGGGACGCTGTTACTGGCATTGAAATTGAGGAAGAACATTTCTGGTGGAAGGTCACAGCGAAAAATGTCTACCCTGATCAACAGCACTGGTTGGAAGCAGGCGTATCTTGGGAACCTGGATTGTGGGGAGAAGTTCTCCCCACAGCCATGAAAGCTATTGAGAGAAAAAGACCTCCTCCTTGTCCAGCGGGGTTAGCCAGGTGTGACCAGGATACCCAAGGGCGATGGGCTTCTGACGATTTCAAATTCCCCCCATATCATTACCTTGACAGATTTGTATTTTGGAGGAACGGCAAGTGGCGTCTAGCTGTTCAATCGAACGGGAACTTTTGTTGGGGTACGGGTATAACCATACTGAATTGTGCTATAGTGCATCAGACATCAAGGGGTCTAGGAAACGATATGAAAACGAACGACTTTCTTTACTGGGAGACTCATTCAGCATCTATTCCTTCGTGATTGTGGCTGCGGCTATGTGTCGAAACTTCACTCCTACTTTTTCCTATGAGCACCTTTGCAGACGCATGGGCATGGCTCCGGGATTCAGAGCACCCTAGAGATTGAGGGCCCCCCTTGCTAGAAAACTTCAGTATGGTTCTGTCTGCCCCGATCAATCTCTTTCAGTTCAAGACTTAAACCGCTTATTGTTAACCAAGGTTAATCATACTGGCTCAGACGTGCGCATCAGCACAGGTGAGATCATGGTCCCGAAAGCCTTTCCACGTCAAAGCGTTGAAGCCGAGTAGTGGCATTGGAAGCCTGTTTTTAAATTTCAATGGCAGCATAAAGAACACATAAACCTCTTAGAATTGCGTTCAATTTTGCAGTCAGTGGTTTTCACAGTCAATCATCACAAACTGGTGAACTACAGAATCTTCCACATCACCGACAGTTATGTTTGCATGTCCATTATCGGAAAGGGTCGAAGCAGTAGTCGTCTTCTAAATCGGACTTTAAAGGTCCTCGATGCTTATTTGTTGGCACATGGGCTGACTTTGGTCGTAGCCCATGTAGAATCATCTCACAACCCCACTGATGGGGCGAGTCGTGAGACCTAAGTTTTTGGCCAAAACGACAACAGCAGAACGCAAAGCGCAACGAAAGAACGTTATTTTGGCAGACGCCGCCATCACTGAGAGAACCCAAGTAAGGTACTATGTCGCCTTACGTTGTCTGCTGCCGACCGTTGAGAAGACCAAGCATTTGTCTCATTTGGATGATAATGTCAGTGACTGGTTAGAAAGACAATGGGAGATGGGTCAGACATTAAGTTTTGTCAGCGATGCACTTTGTGGGCTTCATCACTTTGAGCCCAGTACTAAAAAGTGCATCCCTAACACTTGGAAGCTGTTCCGCACTTGGCGGAAGCTGGAAGCCCCGAACCGGGCGCCTCCTCTTACGCTTGATTTGGTCTACGTTTTAGCACATTATGCACTTTATCATGATGACTTAATTTTCGCAGCATTGCTTCTTTTAGGATTTTTCGCCTTGCTCCGTACCGGAGAAATACTCAACGCCTGCCCTGAACATTTCATCTTGGGTGCTGACGAGGGTGTTCTCAGTCTTCCCATCACTAAGACTGGAGTAAGGCATGGTGCTGGTGAGACCATTGCTTTTGATGACAGTTTTGCTCTGGATGCTATCCGTGAAGCAATCAAATTGCGTGAATTTCAGGGGTTGACGAGGGTTCCCATTTGGCAAGCTTCACCACAAGCCTTTAGGAACAGATTCACATTTTATTGTCGAAAGTTTGACCTTTTGCCTCACTGTTTTCGACCTTATTCACCGAGGCGCGGTGGCGCAACGTGGACGTTTCAGTCCACAGGCTCCAGGCTCCATGGAGCGCGCGCTGCTTAAAGGACGCTGGAATTCAGCACAAGTGGCCAAAGTGTATATCCAAGATGGCCTTTCCAAGATCCCATCAATGACCTTTTCCTCCAAGACCAAAGAAATGATTCGACGCTGGCATCCCTATCAACACAAGTGTCGAGTCTAGGGGTCGTGGAAGACCAAATTTTTCAATGCGTTTGTGAGTCATTTTTATTTTTCTCGAGCCAATCCTGCCATGGATTGAATGTGTTGTTTTGCAAAACATCCTGCCATGGATGAGTTGAAGAAATAAAACTGTTGTGAAATCATCCTGCCATGGATGAACGTACCATTTCAGAAAGATTTCCTTTGAAGGTTGGCTGATGACTGAGTCACAGCCTGAAAAACCTTACAGGTCGTGCTGTGGAGTCAAAACAGTGCAAGAATCGAAGCCTAAAATTGTGTGTCGCAGTTTGTTTGTGTCACCTGCGCTCCGTTTTTTGCAGCCCCTGAATTCCTTTTCCACCCGGATACAAAGTGTCATTTTGGATTCCATGGTTGTTATTTTTGGGAACTCGCTCAGTTTCACCTATTTGTTTTTTCATTTTATATATCCCTCACCTCAGTGTTTTTTCACTTCGAATGGCTTAGCAGTGGTTGCAAGCGCAAAGTGTGAGTGTAACCAACCTGACCCCCAAAAAAAAAACATAATAAGACAGTCTCTAGCAATCTAAAGTTTAATTGTTTCTTGTTGCGAACTCCCAATGTCTTCAGATTCGTCGACTTCCTGCCGGCGAAAAGTTGGAGATCCTGAAGCCCGGCGCCGACCCAAAAGGCCCAGTTCGGGCCTTGCGGTTTTTACGGTTTGCAGTTGGCCTTGCGGTTTATTTTTGAGGGATGAGTGTCTCTTCGCTGTCAGGACGCCCTTTCATGGTCAAGGATAGCAAGGTAGGGCAACAAAAACAGCGCGTTTCGTTTTCAGGTTTCAGTTACATTGTGAGATTTGTTCACACTGCACACCCGCATTGGATCCTCTAACTTACAATACTTACAGGCGCTTACAGGAGTTCATTCGCATATTGCAAATGGTATTTCAACAATTGTGATGCAAGAGTGAAAGTTTGAAGGTTGATTTATGTTGATTTTCTTCAGCCATTCCAAACTCCAAGTTGCAACTCCGCAGGGCAATCGAGGATGGATATCGGCCTTGAACCAAAAAGGCGCTTTTGTGGTCGAAGTCAAACAGCGTGGCTCGGCAAATATGATTTGTTTGTATGTTTTATGTGTGGAATGTGGCAGATATTGTTCTGGATGCTGTTTTTTCTTAATTTTCAAGGTTTTGGTGCCTGCACGTCCATGCTGTTTCAGCAATCTGAGGTTTGGGCGGGGCAAGTAAACTTGCAAGCTGACTGGCAAACTTCATGATCCAACCAATTGGTATTCCCTTCAACTTGCACTCTCTCACCAACAAATTGCCTCGTCGCCGCGCTTTCCCACCGATCAAGTTGCCCCATGTATCAACTGTCTTATCAACTCCAAACGTCAAAGTCATTATTGCACCAATCAAGTACGACATCACACGATCTACATCAAATCCGCTGTCATGATCTCATCAGATTGGCCCTTCATCGACGTCGCTCGACGCTGCTTGAGACTAGAACTAATTGCCGCCCAAAAATCGCGGACACCACAGTGGAAAATGGAAAGCCGCAAAATTGGCAGCTAGGAAAATTTGGCGACCTCTAGGTTGCGCGAACTCGACGGCGACAATCAGACTTCGTTTTTCGGGATGTCAACCTTCCACTTCCGTTTGACATGTCGGATATAGACTGGAACCATCCTAAGCGCGCAAATTATTCTAGCTTCACATCCATGTCAGTTTTCCCTCATGCCACATTCTCATCGACTGACAGCAAGCTCAATTTGATTATATACACAGCCCTGATCAATCAATTTAGCTATAATTGCCGAACTGCCTCCTAGTCTGACCTTGTGACAAGGTTTGTGTTGTTTTCTACAGGGGGGTTCGAAGCGCAAGGGGCGGTGTTTTTTCATAAGTTTGGATGCCAAGCATCAAAATGGCAGTGCAGGAAGTGCTGGGTTGTCCATCCACGAAAGTCCACGCTATACACTTGTTTTTGAGCGACAAAACATATTCATATTATATTGGCGGAGCAGAGTTCAGGGCTGATTTGTGATATGCCACGCATTGTTTTGTTGGCCAAAGTTTGCGAAAGGAACGTGTGAATGGCTGGGCAGAAGAGATTTATTTGCGTTGGGCGATAAATGACGATAATGAATTGTAAAAGTTGTGGCAAGTGGGTTCTGGCAATCAATCATTCAGTCAGTTACCTCATTAGATCAGCGCGATCAGCACCCATGAGTCAAGAATCTCATTGCTGTTGTTAACCCACCCATTGCCATCCATGTGTCCAGAAATCAATCAACCAATCAATCAATCAATCAATCAATCAATCAATCAATCAATCAACCCATGTCACTTTCCAACGGGGGCAAAGGCCCAACCCATTAGTCCATGAATCGACCTATCAACCGCTTTGCCAGTGAGCTTACCTAAACCAATCCAGCAACGATTTAGCAATGATTCAAATCAACATCCCACCCGACCACCAGCCAATCAATTGCACCTCTTTTGGTTTTGCGGGCCATTGGTTCATTGTGTGAAATTTCCGCACCCGGGCCTTGTTAGTCCACAATGCTTTTAAACGACCCAATTTCATGGGCGCTACACAGGATCCCTTCAGGATTGGGGATGACCGGATAACCTCGGCTTTTAGCTGAGGTGGGGACCAGAGCTTTTACACGGCCCTACAGGAATCGAGCTAAGATGAGCTGAGTCTCCGATGTCCATGGGTCTGTAATGATGTTTATTGCTAGTTCAAGGCCGAATCAGGCGTGATTCATTCCAGCGGATGTCAGCGATGCAAGACCACAGACCCAGCTGTTGGACCACAGGCATTTGCAAATGATGTTGACCGAAGCAACACTGCTGCCCCGGCGGCGTATCGGCCATTGCCGGCCTGTTTGGACACCTGTTGTGATGCCATGACCTTGCGTGAACAGCAAAAAGGTGGCCCGATAGCTGAAGTGTCCATTTCCAGTTACTTGACCCGGTTGGCCCAGTTGACCCAGGTGCTCAGCAGGATGTTGAGAGCAATGCCAGGCCCAATTCCTGATGCGGAGAGGAATGGCAGCAAAGAATCTGCGGGACACGGAACGCAAGGCCAAGGAGTGAAGCAGTTGGACAACATGTTGGACATGTTGGACATGGTGTGTTCAGGGCACGAACTGTTTGTGCAGTTTGACACACAGGGATCTCTCATGATCTCTCCCTTTTCCGGGTGTGTTGTGAACTACATGCCAATTATATGCAGTGCCTGTATACCCACACATGCACATACACTCTTGCAAACGCACACTCACACAGACACAGGCACACACACACACACTGGACTGGACTGGACTGGACTGGACTGGTTTTGAAACTTGAAGCTGGTTCCAAAGCGGCTGTTCCTCGAAGACTGACGGGGAGGAGGCAACCACATACACTACCTAACCCATCGTACTTATATTGTACGAGCGAAAAAATGTATGTCTATAATATATATATATATATGGTTGATCACTAAGGTGAGATTTATACACGATCATGTCTGGTCCCGGGGTAGCATTTCGGCTCACAGGAAGAAGTGCTGGGCCACCGGTAGCTCAGACCTCTGAAGGTAGAGCTGTGCCTGGGTGGCCTGTTGGCAGCCCCCTTGGTGGGTCCATACCTTTGTGGAGGACCTTTTCACCAAGGCGTGGCGCCTTTTGAAGAGAGGGCGCTGCTTCACCAACCTTTGTGCGCTGGTCCAGTCAAAGCTGGGGGCGCCGGGGGCCATGGAGCGGCTTCGTAACAAAGGAGCCAGCTTGGGACTCAATGAGGATGAGATCCAACAAGCTCTGAACTTGGGGCGTTCCAAGCAGGAGCTGGCTTGGGTGATGTGCAGCGACCTTTCGAGTCGAGCACAAGACCTGGCTCGTGAAGTTTTCGAGCAGGAACGGATCCAGGAATATGAATGCTATGATGCCCGTTGGCAAAGCCAGGGAAGGGCAATTATCACCCTGAAGGACTGGGAGGACAGGGAAAATTGCCTGTTCACTGGATCCCATGGACCAGCTTCAGATGGTTACTACTCGTGGTTCGCTGAGCACCAGATGGGGCTGGAAAATGGCCTTTACCATGTGTGCGCCTGTGAGGCGTCCCGGTGCCGGTTGAAGAAGCCCAAAGGCGCATAGACAAAAGCAGGCAGAGCCTTACGTTGGCATGGCCTGCTGATGTGGCATGGTTTGATTGTAGTAGCCCTGAACTGGCTCTACACGGGCGGTAACCTGGAAGGGGCGGTGGGTCCACCAGCGGGTAGAGCCACAGCTCAGCAGGAGTCTGCTTTGTGTAGAATATGGGACCTGGTCAAGGTCTTCGTGGATGAAAAGCCCAAGAAGGGTGGTGTTCCCAGGACTCCCGAGGGAGGATGGGAAAATGACCTTGGTCGACTGCGTGTCTCGTACACGGGGGAAGTGGTAGAGAAGAGAAGGCAATGCCACTGACCTATGAGCAGATCTGGCCTGGACTTCCCACGCCCCATCATGGAGGCCTGGTGGACATCCTTGAAGTGGTGGACGGAAAGTTAAAGGCAAGGCTGCTGCGGCCTGAGTTGATGTTGCGGGAGATTACAGAGGAGATCCCCCGACCACTAGTGTGGCCTCGAGTGGTGAAGGCCCTGTGGGAACGGAACTTGGTTGCACCGGTACAGACCAGGCCTACGGTCCATGGAGTACCAGTCCTCAACGGGGCTTTTGGTGTGATTAAGCCAGAAAAGTTCACTGACTCGGGGTTGCCAGTGCTCAGAATGATAATCGATCTGAGGGCGTCCAACACCATCCTCGACCAGCTTGAGGGCGACGTCTGGACGCTGACGGGTGCCGCCAGTTTCCAAAAGCTTATGGTCGGACCCAACGAGGAGCTCCTGGTGAGTGGGGACGACTTGAACTCGGCGTTCTACTTGTTTAGATTGCCGGAGAAGTGGCCGAACTACCTGGCCCTGCGCAAGCCTGTCCCTTGGTCTGTCTTCGAGCCCGGCAAGGCTGGAGAGACGTTGGTGGGCCTGCGCGTCCTGCCCATGGGGTGGTCAAGTGCCGTGGCGGTGATGCAGAATGCCCACAGGCAACTTGCACTCAGGACAGAACTGAGGTATGGCGCAGGCCTGTTGGCGAAGGCTGAGATTCGCAAAGACGCTGTGTTCCCATCACTTGATGAAGCCCCGGCCTGGACTATATATTTAGACTAAACGATAAGACGATCCTGGAGAAAGTTGCCAGGGAGGTGGCCAGGACCCTTGAGGGTAAGGCCCCGGAGGAGCAGACCAGGCTCAGAAAGGCATATGAGTGGTGGGGAATCCCGACAAATGAAGGGAAGGCCCTGGAAAGGTGCAGGCAGGCAGAAAGACTTGGTGCAGTCATCGATGGTGAGCGGGGATTGCTGCGAGTCAGCACAAAGAGAAGCTTAGACCTCATGAGCCTAGGTGGGTGGCTGAGAGCCCAGCCGCCCAGCCAACGATGCCCAGGACTGGGCTCCAAATCTACGCAGGAAAGGCGGTTCATGTTCTGCAGTTTCGCAGGTGCTTATTTTCGGTGCTCCAAGAAGTCTTTACCAGCATTGCTCAGAACCCCGAGCGGGTGAGGGCAACAACCAGTTTGTATGATGAGATGCTGGTCCTGGAAAGCTTGCTGCCTGTGGTGGTATCGGACCTTAAGGCCAATATCGACCCGGTTGTCACCGTCAGTGATGCCTCTGAGACAGGTGGTGGCGCCTGTTATGCCTCGAGGCTGAGCCGCTTGGGAGTCGAGGAGCTTGAAGAAATGATGGATGCTGAAGGGCCCGTGGATCAGACGCCGGGTGATGATTTCAGGGATGTATCACAGAAAATCGTGGTTATTGACCTGTTTGCTGGCATCGGGGGACTTGAGCGGGCATTAGAGCTGGCACAGCTCAAGCCTTGGTTCACTGTGGCGGTAGAGTCAGACCCTGACTGCCGTCGGTGCTTGCGTCGCCGCTTCCCTGGAATGGAGTTTTGCAGTGACGTCAAGAAGGTGGACCAAGAACAAGTCAAGAGATGGCTCAAGAAGATTCCTGATTCCTGATGCAAATGGTGTGATCGTGGGAGGTGGCAGCCCATGCCAAGGGCTGTCACGTCTCTCAGTGGATCGCCGCCATTTGGAAGATCCCAGAAGCAAGCTCTTTCATGATGCTGCGGGGGTCATGAAGATGGTGAAGGAGGAGAGCAAGCTCTTGGGAATGTGGTGCATCCGATTCCTGGAGAACGTGGTGGCTGATGATGTTGACATACAAGAAATGAGCCTGGCCTTGGAAATGAGGCCGAGGTTGGTGGACTCCCAGTATCTCTTCCGCGCTCGGCGACCGAGGCTATTTTGGTTTTCAGTTGACCTGGTGAGCCATGAGGAGGTGGAAGTGAGAGAACATGAGTTGTTTGATGAGGTCATCTATGGGGCTGCAACAGAGCCCATGTCAAGTGTCCTGTGCCCCGGGTGCCGGTGGATCCCAGGAGAGCGGGATAGTGGAAAGCGTTTTCCCACATTCACCCGAGCTATCCCGCGGCCTAGGCCACCAAAGGCCCCGGCAGGCCTAGCTTCAACAAGTGAAGAAGGCCTGCAGCGCTGGAAGAAGGATGGGTACAGGTATCCACCCTACACTTATGAAAGGGATTACATGATTGAAGAAGAAGATGGCCACCTCAGACCTCTGAAGGCCTGCGAGAGGGAAGTACTCATGGGGTTCAAGAAAGGCCATACCATGGATCTCGCTCGCAAGCCGCCGGAGTCGCCTGAAGAAAAGCAAAAGCTGGAGGACCAGAGGTGTGCCGCCATTGGAAATGCCTTCCACGCTACAGTGGTTGCGGCCCTCCTGGACCACATGTTGTGGTCTTTTGGGGTGAAACCGTTGGTGGGCCACCATGAGATTGTCGAGTCCTGGGCCTCAGAAATCAAGAGGCTGGCCACGGTGGCAGAGGTCCATGAGGTGGAGGTGGTGTTGGATCAGGCCCCAAAAGGGGAAGATCCAGGGTAATGTTGGGTCCTGATTAGTACCTAGGGTCGCTATTGTGGCAAATTTTTCCAAATTATTCTAAAACTCATGTATTGTTTGGAGAGTTCGCTTTTGTGGCAAAACAAAATTGGGAGAGCCCTTTTTTTTGCAAAAAAAACTGTAATTGCTGAGACGCATTTTTTTCTCAAAAACGCTGTAGCTCAGTCAAGGTAGGTTTGTTTGCTGGGTTCACTATTGCAGCAAGCTGTGCCAGAGCAGCCCCTGGAAGCCCAGAAGGGAAGCAAGCCTTTTCCAAAAGCAATTGCCAAATTCAAACTCCAAGCCTTTCCCAAAGGAGCCAATCCCTTATTAAACCCTTATTAACGAACAGCTTTTCCACAATTTTCCAAGGCCCTGGGCCAGGAGAGGCTCCATTTCACTTTAGTAGGTTTGTTTGCTGGGTTCACTATTGCAGCAAGCTGTGCCAGAGCAGCCCCTGGAAGCCAGAAGGGAAGCAAGCCTTTTCCAAAATTGCCAAATTCAAACTCCAAGCCTTTCCCAAAAGAACCAATCCCTTATTAAACCCTTATTAAAGAACAGCTTTTCCACAATTTTCCAAGGCCCTGGACCAGGAGAGGCTCCATTTCACTTTAGTAGGCTTGTTTGCTGGGTTCACTATTGCAGCAAGCTGTGCCAGAGCAGCCCCTGGAAGCCCAGAAAGGAAGCAAGCCTTTTCCAAAGGCAATTGCCAAATTCAAACTCCAAGCCTTTCCCAAAGGAGCCAATCCCTTATTAAACCCTTATTAAAGAACAGCTTTTCCACAATTTTCCAAGGCCCTGGACCAGGAGAGGCTTCATTTCACTTTAGTAGGTTTGTTTGCTGGGTTCACTATTGCAGCAAGCTGTGCCAGAGCAGCTCCTGGAAGCCCAGAAAGGAAGCAAGCCTTTTCCAAAGGCAATATCCAAATTCCAACCCCAAGCCTTTCCCAAAGAAGCCAATCCCTTATTAAACGCTTATTAAAGAACAGTTTTTCCACAATTTTCCAAGGCCATGGACCAGGAGAGGCTTCATTTCACTTTAGTAGGTTTGTTTGCTGGGTTCACTATTGCAGCAAGCTGTGCCAGAGCAGCCCCTGGAAGCCCAGAAGAGAAGCAAGCCTTTTCCAAAGGCAATTGCCAAATTCAAAGCCCAAGCCATTCCCAAAGGAGCCAATCCCTTATTAAACCCTTATCAAAGAACAGCTTTTCCACAATTTTCCAAGGCCCTGGACCAGGAGAGGCTCCATTTCTCTTTAGTTGGTTTGTTTGCTGGGTTCACTATTGCAGCAAGCTGTGCCAGAACAGCTCCTGGAAGCCCAGAAGAGAAGCAAGCCTTTTCCAAAGGCAATTGCCAAATTCAAACTCCAAGCCTTTCCCAAAGGAGCCAATCCCTTATTAAACCCTTATTAAAGAACAGCTTTTCCACAATTTTCCAAGGCCCTGACCAGGAGAGGCTCCATTTCACTTTAGTAGGTTTGTTTGCTGGGTTCACTATTGCAGCAAGCTGTGCCAGAGCAGCCCCTGGAAGCCCAGAAGAGAAGCAAGCCTTTTCCAAAGGCAATTGCCAAATTCAAACCCCAAGCCTTTCCCAAAGGAGCCAATCCCTTATTAAACCCTTATTAAAGAACAGCTTTTCCACAATTTTCCAAGGCCCTGGACCAGTAGAGGCTCCATTTCACTTTAGTAGGTTTGTTTGCTGGGTTCACTATTGCAGCAAGCTGTGCCAGAGCAGCCCCTGGAAGCCCAGAAGGGAAGCAAGCCTTTTCCAAAATTGCCAAATTCAAACTTTTCCCAAAGCATATTGAACCCTTATTAAAGAACAGCTTTTCCACTAGTACTACAAGTACTACAAGTACTACAAGTGCAAGTACTACAAGTACTACAAGTACTACAAGTACTACAAGTACTACAAGTACTACAAGTACTACAACTACAAGTACTACAAGTACCACAAGTACCAGTACAAGTACTACAAGTACTACAAGTACTACAAGTACTACAAGTACTACAAGTACTACAAGTACTACAAGTACTACAAGTACTACAAGTACTACAAGTACTACAAGTACTACAAGTACTACAAGTACTACAAGTACTACAAGTACTACAAGTACTACAAGTACTACAAGTACTACAAGTACTACGAGTACTACAAGTACTACAAGTACTACATGTACTACAAGTACTACAAGTCTACAAGTACTACAAATACCACAACTTCATCGGCAAAAAAACAATCTTAATTAGATTTCGATTGTAGCCAATTGAAATCCTTACTTAATCGAGGATATGTTTTTCTTTTGGGAAGAATTTTTTTGCTTTTCTACTTTAAAGAGAGTCCAGAAATAGTTTAGGGGAGGGGGGGGGGGCACACACTAATCAGGAACCAACATTATGACACCGACACCACACAGATTGGAAGCTACGAGATGGAGCGCAAGAGCCGAGGCATCCCAAGGAGCCCAGCAAGCGCCACAAGCATAGCAGGCATTAGTGAACTGGACCTGAACCTGTCGGTCCGAATGGTCCAGGCTTTTGTGCATCGCCAAGAGTATCGAGGAAGCGACGTCAGGCTAGACGTGGGAACGCTGTTCAGGCCTGATGCGTTCCCTCGGGCAACAGTGAATCCTCATCGATGGTTAAGGCATGTTGCCCATGCATACCCGTTTCACACTCAAGAGCACATCAATGTGCTCGAGCTCCGAGTGTTGATTCACTGCGTTGAATGGCGCTTGCGAAGGAAAAACTTTAATGGGACACGGTTCTTGCATTTGGCCGACTCCCAGATTACCCTCAGCGTGTGCGTAAAGGGCCGATCCTCCAGCAGGACCCTAAATCGACTTCTCCGAAAATTGGCGGCAATGAGCGTGGCAGCTGGTCTGTACCCAGTGCTGGCATGGGTTGAGTCTCACCTCAACCCGGCAGATGAACCCAGTCGGCGCTATGAGCAGTAATCCAAGAGGAAAGGCGCCACTGGCCGTGCTCAATCGCCCCACCAAGGAGAGTCGAAAGATGGAACGAAGGAAAGTTGGCCGCCTATCCCAGTTGGTAGTGCAAGCCAAAACCAAGACACGCTATGAGGAAAGTTTTCGTAAGTTTTGTGAGTTTCACCACCTCCAAAGGGAGATCACCATGTTGGACCGAGAGAAAGTGGATTTGTGGGCATCTGCTTATATTGAGTTTTTGTGGGAAGATGGGGCTCCGAAATCGGAGGCGTCTTATGCCTTGGCCGCCATCCAGTTTTTCCACCCACAGACTAAGAATCACTTAGTGTGGGCCTGGAAATTGGTTAAGACCTGGAATCAGGTTGAGTTACCGACCAGGGCTACGCCCCTCAGCCCAGAAATTTGGGAATGGCTGGCCAAGCCTTTAAGTGGAAACAGTTCAGGTTTGGTTGGCTGTTGGTTGTCGGCTTTGGTGCGTTTTTGCGCACGTCAGAGCTGGTGCAGCTGAAGAGAAAAGAGGTTATCTTGCCGACAGCTTCGAAGAACCCAGAAGCAGTGCTGCTCTTGGACAATACCAAAGGGACAAAGAAAAATTTCCTTCCCCTTGACAAAGTGGTGCTAGAAGAAAGTCTGCCCATACAGGGACTCCAGTATCTCTGTCAGGGATTGCAACCCGGGGATTCACTCTCTCAGATGTCCAATTCGCAGTTCAGAGTTTTATTTAAAGAGGTTTTGCAGGCGCTCAGTTTGGAAAACATGGGCTATGTGCCCTACAGCCTGCGCAGAGGGGGGGGTCACCAGTGCCTTTCGGCAAGGTGTTACCATGGATAATTTGGTCACTCAGGGCAGGTGGCAACATGTGCCCACTGCACGTATCTATATTAATGCCGGCCTTCAATCGTTGGCATCAATTACACACCCTCCCGGAACCCTTGCCCACTGCGCTAAAATGCGCCTTTACTTTAAAATTGTGAGCCAGAGAGGGACGCGTGGAAAGAGGGCTATGCCATAGTGCTTACCAGTGGGCTGTGGACTCCAAATGGAGTACAGCCACTTCACTGGTTTGGGGCTGCCATGGATGAAGACGATCTTTACATGGCAGCCTAGGCAGGGCATGAGCCTCTAGCCTTAACAGATGGCAAGAGCTTCAGTGAAAAAGCGTGCCAAGAAGTGCAGGGACCGGTGAATGGGAGTGTATATATATATATACGTGGATATATATATATATATATACAGCAACGACCCCCAAGCTACAAATATACCTTTGTAGTAATATATATATATACACATACATATTTTCCATGTGTACTGATACAGTCGTGCATTATATACATTTATTTTTTTAATTAGTTATTTTATGTCGTTTTTTATTTATTTATGTATGTATTTTTGTTTATGTATGTTTTTTTTATTGGACTGTATATGTATATATATATATATAAATATTCATTGTAATATGTATACATTTTGATATAAATATAAAAGGATTATGTATTATATACAAATAGCCTGTGTAGTACACGTAAATCACGCACATACTACCTATAGTTTATCTATCTATACCTATAAGTACATATATGTAAAAAAAATGAGCCACCTGGTTACTACTCATCTGGTGCTAACATCGACCACTTGTCGCTCATTCCTTCTACTTCATATTCAACCTCCCCGCCCCACCCCACCCACCCAGGAAGGGGGTACCATATCCTCATACAGGGGGAGAGTGGTACCATGACCATGGGTGGGGGGCCCAGAACCTGGAACATATATACCATTCCATTACGTTACACACCATGACATTGCATTGCATACCGTTACTTACCACTACATACATTCACATATTCAATCATATACACACATACAACACATATGAGCTACAATCAAATGGTTGAAGACCACCGTAGTATTGCAGAGGCACTTTTGACAGCGATGATGGCACAAAACACTGGAAAGCGATATTAAGATAGAAAAAACGATAACCGATAGCAACTACTGAGATGTAAAGGATTTTGGCAGGAACTCGTCATATATATAGATATATATATATCTCTCTCTCTG